GGGGCTTTCTGACCTCAAGAAAACTTGGGGGCGCGCACCCTCGGCCACAGCTTCCTCTACCTCGTCTCACGGGCTTCCCCGCAATGGGCTCCCTCCCTCTCTCTCGCGGCAGCGCAGCGGGGGGCATGGGAGGGAGCAAGCGCATGCCTCGGTGGCGGTACTCACCTGCCAGCGGTAGCCTGCATGACACTCTTTCCGTTTCGCTCTCCAAACGTCCGGTCAAAGAAGTGCTTGTGGTTCTTGACGAGATAGTCGTTGGCGTACGGCTGGCCGCCAAACTTGTAGATGCGCTGCAGAATCTTGTACCCCGCCGCGTAGCCGAGGCCGGGAAAGAGCGAGACAAACTTGGTGCCGAGCGAGGCGTGCGCCTTGTCCTTGAAGACAACTTGCGCCATCTGTTGCGACCGAGCCCAGCCAAAGATGAAAGCGCCGTCAGCCTCTCTGGGCCTTCTCTACACACTGCAATCTGCCCCCCCCCCCCCCCCGAGGGCTTGCTGCAATCCCCCGATCTTGCACCCCCCCCTCTCCATCACCTGCCTCAGCCTACTCTGCCCTTCGAAACACAGCTCTCGCCGCATCGGCCCCGCTCGGCGCACCAACGGCAGCAGGCAGCGCTGAGAAGCCGCCTCACATCTAAGCTCTGCTTCCCCGCCCCGCCCCGCCCCCACCTCTCTCCCTTCTGCTCTTCCTTGCTCTTTGCATCTCACTCTCCCCTCGCTCGCCGCATCTGCTTTACGCTTTCTCTTTGCCCCCCTCCTCCCCCCTTCTTTGTGCGCGCAAAACGCACCTTGATGCTGGCGTCCTTGTTGCTCATCAGGCGCTTGGCGACGGTGTCGACGGGGTGGAAGACGAGGAGCTCGGCGACGCCCGACGTGCCCGAGCCGAGCAGGCGCGCCTGGGCCGAGTCGCGCGACTTGCCGAGAGGGGGCGACATGGGTGCCGTGTGTGGTTGGTGGTTGGTGGTGGTGAGGGGCGTGCGGGGGTGTGAGGGTAGGGAAGCAAAGGGCGAGCAGAGAGGAGGCAAGGGGCGAGCATCCAGGCGCGACTTTGGCTGCTGCGCGTGCGCCGCGAAGATTAGGCGCCAGGCGCTGAAATCAGCAGCGCCGGCCGCCGCGGGTGCGGCGGCAGCGCGAGGCGCGCTCGGGCATGAGAGCAGTCAAGGAAGCCTTGCGCGCGCCCCAGAATTCTATTCACGCGGCGGCGGCGCCGAGAGGAGCGCCGACGTCGGACGTTCGGACGTGCCGCCGGTGGCCGGCCGCCGGAGAAGGAGGGGGCGGGGGCGCCGCGAGGGCAGAACGAGAACAGGGCAGCGAGCTCGCAAGGGCTAGTGCTAGATAGACATCAGCTGGCCCCGTCTCGAGGCTACGTCTTAGCCAGAGGCCCCCTCCCACAGCAGCCAAGGTGCAACGGTCAGGCGCGGCCAACGTGCGACGTGATGCCCTGGGCAGCAGCAAGCAAGCAAGCAAAGCACACACACAGGCCTCAAGTCTAGTGTGCCAGCGCCTCGAGCGAGACCCTCGCTGCGGCATTCCTGCACGGTCTCTCTCTCTCTCTCTCTCGCGCCCCCAAAACCCGCTCTTGCGTTCAGGTTGCTTTGCCTCAGACTTGCATCTTGTACACAAACGTCTGCCAAGGGGGCCCAGCAAGCTCACTACGCTCTTTCATGCCGCACCCGCACCCGGGGTGTGATGCGTTGCATCTTTTGTGTGTCATTGTTTGCCTTTCTTTGCCCTCCCCCTCTCCCCCTCTCAGTCCTCATCCTGCCTGCCCATCTGCGGCGCCTTGATGCCCGCCGGCTTGCTCATGATGATCGAGTCGACACTCAGCACGCTCACCGCGGCGCCCGTGGCATAGCGCAGCGCCCAGTACTTTGCCGCCAGCACATCAAAGATCTGCGCCGGCGTCGTCGACGTCGTGCCGTCGGACTCCGGTCCCTTTTTTTGCCAAGGCAAGCGCGCGGGCAACGACGAAAAGTCAGTGGCAAGAGAGAGGAGAGAGAGAGAGAGACGGGGGGGGACTCACCTCAGCCTCAATCTCGACGCCAACGTCTGCATTGGCGGCATTGGCATGCTTGGAGAAGAGCTTCGCCACCACCTCCGTCGCGTCGAGGCCGGCATTCTCGGCCAGGGTGCGCGGCACGACCTCGAGGGCCTCGGCAAACTTGCGGATGGCATGCTGGTTGAGGCCGGGCGTCTTTTCGCCATAGGCGGCCACGCGGCGCGCCAGCGCCACCTCCGTCGCGCCGGCGCCCGGCACCAGACGGGCATCGCGCGTCAGCGCCTTGATGACGTTGACGCCGTCGTCGATGGCGCGCTCGACGTCGTCGAGATGGTTGGCCGTGGCGCCGCGCAGCACGACGGTGGCCATGCGCGGCCGCGCCTTGCCGCCAGTCTGCCCCTCTTCCTGCCGGAACACCGTGACGCGATCGCCGCCAATCTCCGTCGTCTCCACCACATCCACCCAGCCGGCCTCCTCGGGCGTCGGCGCGCCCATGCGCGCCAGGGGCGTGGCGCCCAGCAGCCGACAGAGGCGCCGCAGCTCAAACTTGCTGAGAATCTTGATGATGAGAATGCCGAAGCGGTTGAGGTAGTGCATCGCCAGCTCGCCCACCGTCGAGCCCGTCACGACGACCTGCACGCCGGCATCGGCAATCTGCCGCACAATCAGCTCCAGCTGCTTCTCCTCGCCCGAACTGAACGTCGACAGCTCCTTGGCGTTGTGCAGCAGCACCGTGCCCTTGGTCTCGGTCTGCGAAATGTCGAGGCCACACGTAAAGACTGCCACCTTTGCGGCGCTGGCCTTCTTGACGACGCCTTCGGGCGAACGGCCAAAGACCATGCCGCGCACCACGCGCGAATCGGCAAGCGAGCCGCCGAGAATCTTGACGACGCGCACGTTGTCAACGTTGAAGTCCTTGAGATACGCCGAGCTCGAGGCGGCGCCCGAGGCGGAAGCATGGGGAAGCACGAGAGACACGGCCTGTGCGACCAGCGGCGCAAGCAGATCCTCTTGCCCGTACTGCTTCGAGGCGAGCGCGGGACGCAGCGCCAACGCAAGCGACTCGGGCGTCGGCGGAGAGGCCAGCGTGGCGACGGAGAGCGCTGGAGAAGAGCGAAGTGCCGCGCGTGTGAGCGGACGTGTGCCAAATTGCAACGAGGCGTTTGCTGGCGCGTGAGACACAGAGCTGTAGCTGCCCTCCAGAGTGGCGAAGCGAAAGAATCGTACCCTCAACATGGCCTGCCCGAAAGCAGAACGTGCCGTCGTGCTACTTGCCGCTCGCTCCCGTCTCCTCCATCGTGCCTACCTCTGTGCGAGCCGCCGCCTGCTTCATGCCCCTCGGCCCTCTTGTGGAGGGCGCCCCAACCCACACCACACGAGGCGGAACGACGCAACTCACTCTCGAGCTCCTCGAGTGCCTTGTCGCGCGCCAGCTCGTATCCTTGCAGGATCTCCGAGGGGTGCAATCCCATCGTGATGAGGTATTCCGCCTTGTGCAGCTGCGCATCATCAAGGAGGTTGCGAGGTATCGTCAGTGGTCGCCCTTCGGCAGCACAGCCACGCAACGCGCGACACGCAGCAGTGCCAGGCTGTACCAGTGCTGCCCCCCCCCCCCGCGCGACGAGAGGGCAAGAGCAGGTACTCACAAGTTCGCCGGCCAGCATGACTACGAGGGCAGAGCCATCTCCCAGCTCTGCCTCCTGCTGTCCCGAGGCCATGACCAAGAGCTTTGCCACGGGGTGCGCCACGTCCAGCCTGTAGTGGGGCGGCGTTCACATCACTGCGTCAGCCCATCGCGCAGAGTCAAAGAGACATCGCTGCGGCAAGCGCGGCGCATAGCTCGCGGCCCCACACGCACTCGCGCAGAATCGTGGCCGAGTCGCTCGTGACAAAGACGCGCGAGAGGTGGTTGATGAGAATCTTGTTCTTGCCATTCGGGCCAAAGGAGGTGCGCAGCATCGACGAGAGCTCCGTGGCGGCTTGGATGTTGCTGCGCACAGCAAGGCAAGAGGAACGAGAGAGATGCATCAGCACAGTGCAGATGCGGCGAAGCAGGCGGCGCTGGGCCGCGGCCAAGGACGCACCGCAGCACGGCATCCTCGATGCCCTGCGAGACCTTGTAGCCCTCCTTGAAGATGGGCATGCCCGCGCTGCGTCGCACCGCGCTGTCAGCTTGTGGAGCTCTCTCGCGCACGCAGCGCGCAGTGTGCCTTACCGCGGGACTTTGAGCGACATGCTGGGCGAGCGAGAGCGGGGGGTGTGAGGCGTCAGGAAGGCAGTCGAAGGCGCGCGCCGGGCGGAGAGGCGAGTGCAGGTGCGCGTTGCACGTCTGAGCGCGCCGCCGAGGACGCGCATCGGCCATGCGCGGCCGCGAAGCGCCGTCGCCGAGCCAGAGGCAGAGCGGCGTGCACGTGCAGCTGAAATTTCAAAGCGGCCGCGCCTGCCGCGCCCCTCGTCGTCGGCGGACACCCGCTCAGAGGCACCGGTGTGCGTGGCTGCGGCGCCGCATGGGCGCGAGCGCAGGGATGCGCTGCGCGATGACTCTTCGAGCGAGGCTGCTCAGTCAGCGCACATCGCACGGCGCACGCAGAGCAGAGAAGCAGGCCGGCGTCAGTCGATGATCGGCAGAGTCAAGTGACGCGCGCGCGCGCTGTTGGTCTCTCGTCGCCGGCTGGCGGCCGCCTTTGCGCTGCCAGTGCGTGGCGCGCGAAAGGCGGCGGCTGCGCTGCTTGCGCGCGCGCGAGACTTTCTTCTCGCGCTGCGGCGCCTCGTCTTGCCGCGCTCGGCCTTGCCGCGCCGCTTCCTTCCTCTCCCTCATCCCGGCGGCCGCACTCCCTCCTCCACCGCATCGGCCTACATTCCACCCTGTCCACACCTCCACGACCCACCTCACGACCCTTCTCTGACTGGCTGAACGCACCCACCTCCCGCCTCCCGTCTCGCCCACGCAGCGCTCGCCCGTCATGGACGTGCGTGTCTTCTCGTCCGGCCGCCCCTGCACCCCCCGCTGACGCACCTTGCCTTGCACAGCCCGCATACGTGCAGCAGCTGCACACGCTGCTCCAGCAGAGCAATGTCCCCGACACGGCCACCGTCAAGGCTGCCACGGCGCAGCTGGCGGCCATGTTCAAGGTGCGTGGCGGCGAGCGAGGGCAGCCCTGGCAGCGGCTGACGGTGGGCGTGTCGTCGTCGTCGTCGTCGTCGTCGTCGTGCAGAACCCGGCCTGCGTGCCGGCCCTCTTTGGTGAGTGCTGCCAGTCTCGCCGGCTGCGACACGCCGAGGCTCACCCATCTCCACTCGCAGAGATCCTCGCCTCGTCGCCCGACCTCGCCGTGCGCCAGCTGGCGGCCGTCGAGATGCGCAAGCGCCTCAGCAAGAGCGGCGGCAAGGTGTGGCTCAAGCAGGCCGTCGATGTGCGGGCGGGCATCAAGGCGCGCCTGCTCGAGATCATCGCCAAGGAGGACAGGTGGGTGCTTGGCCAGCTGCGAACCCCCCGCCAGCAGGCTGCTGACGCTCCCGTGGCTGCAGCACACTGGTGCGCAACGCCATCTCGCGCGTCATCTCGGAGATTGCCAAGAAGGAGCTGCTGGCCGGCACATGGCCGGAGCTGCTGCCGTTCCTCTTCGGCGCCGCAGACTCGCCGACGGCGTCGCACCGCCAAGTCTCGATCTTCGTCTTCTTTACCGTGCTCGAGACGTTTGTCGACGGCGGCGAGAAGCTCGAGGCCTACCTGCCGCAGATCCTCGCCGTGTTCGCAAAGAGCCTGCAGGACCCAGAGAGCATCGAGGTGCGCATCACCACGGTTCGGTGAGTCGCGCCAGAGACTGTGCAGCTCTGCCGGACATGGACTCATCCTTCCTGGCAGCGCGCTCGGCAAGGTCGCCGAGAACCTCGAGTCGGACGCGGGACAGGACCTGACGACGATGCAGCAAGCCATCCCTCAGATGGTGCGCGTGCTGCACGACTGTCTCGAGCAGTCGCACACCGAGGGCGTGCGGCAGGTGCTCGACGTCTTCGAGTCGCTCTGCATGCTCGAGTCGCCCGTCATCAGCAACTCGGTGCCCGACCTCATCGAGTTTTTCCTCACCAACGGCGCCAACACGGAGCACGAGGAGTCGCTTCGCATCATGTGCTTCAACTCGCTCATCTGGACATGCCAGTACAAGCGCAGCAAGGTGCAGGCTCTCGGTCTCGCCAAGCCGATGATCGAGCGTCTGATGCCCGTCGTCACGGAGGAGGACCCCGACGAGCCGGACGAGGACTCGCCGTCTCGACTGGCGCTGCGCGTCATCGACGGCCTGGCCACCGAGCTGCCGCCGAACCACGTCTTCCCGCCGCTGCTCGAGCAGATGCAGGCGTACATGGGCCACGCCAGCCCACATCACCGCAAGGCCGCGCTCATGGCCTTTGGCGTCAGCGTCGAGGGGTGCAGCGAGTACATTCGGCCACACATGGAGCAGCTGTGGCCGTTCATCGAGGCCGGTCTGCGGGACGGCGATGTGATTGTGCGCAAGGCGGCCTGCATCTCCCTCGGATGCCTCTGCGAGAGTCTCGACGACGAGTGTGCCAAGCGGCACGCCGTGCTGCTGCCGCTCATCATGGAGCTCGTCAACCAGTCCGAGACGCAGGGACAGGCCTGCACCGCCCTCGACTCGCTCCTCGAGGTGATGGGCGACGACATCAGCCAGTACCTGCCCGCCATCATGGAGCGTCTTGCCGGTCTGCTCGACTCGGCCCCCATTGCCGTCAAGGCCACGGTGACGGGCGCCATCGGCTCGGCGGCACACGCCTCCAAGGCCGGCTTTACGCCGTACTTCCAGCAGACGATGCAGCGCATGACGCCGCATCTGCTGCTCAGCGAGGAGGGCGACGAGATGGACCTGCGCGGCATCACCACCGACACGATTGGCACGTTTGCCGAGGCCGTGGGCAAGGAGGCCTTCCGGCCGTACTTTGCCGAGCTGATGAAGCACTCGTTCCAGAGCATGACGCTCGAGTCGCCGCGGCTCCGCGAGTGCGCCTTCATCTTCTTTGCCGTCATGGCGCGCGTCTTTGGCGAGGAGTTTGCGCCGTACCTCGAGCACGTCGTGCCTGCGCTGCTGGCGTCGTTCAAGCAGGCCGAGCACGACCCCGTGCCTGGCGCGGCGGGCGACGGCACCGTCTCGGGCGCCGGCGTCGGCACGTCGGCAGAGGGCGACTTTGTCACGACGGATGATGGCGACGACGAGTACATCGACCTCGAGGAACTCAACGACTCCTTCCTCAACGTCAACTCTGCCATTGCCGTCGAGAAGGAGGTGGCCGCCGACTCGCTGGGCGAGATTTTCGTCTACACCAAGGCGGCCTTCCTGCCGTACCTCTCGGCCTCGATTGAGGAGATGACCAACCTGCTCGAGCACTTCTACCAGGGCATCCGCAAGAGTGCCGTCTCGAGTCTCTTTGCCGCCATCAACACGCTCAACGAGCTCAGCGCGCCGCAAGACTGGCAGCCCGGACTCAACGTCGAGGTGCCGCTCAACGCAGACGTGCAGCAGCTCGTCGACGCCGTCATTCCGCAGATTCTCAGCGCCTGGGCCGACGAGGATGACCGGTGAGTGTGTCGGTGACTGGTTCGTTGCTGCGGTGGCCTGGCCTGCCACGGCGCGGCTCTGGCTGGCTGGCTGGCTGGCTGGCTCCTTGCTCGATGATGAGAAACCTCAGATCTCAGCTCACTACGACGTGAGACGCACTTGATGCGACTCCGAATGATCACACACTGTTCCCTATTACCTGAGAACAAGGAGCCGCCGTTGCCACCGCGCTTGCCGTCATGTGCCGCCTGCATCGCGCTGACGCATCCGCACACCGCTGACGCATCCGCACACCGCAGGACCACGGCCATCGAGTTCTGCCACTCGCTCTCCGAGTGCCTCAACAAGAACGGCCCGGGCATCATCGCCAGTGAGTCGCTTGACCGTGCCCTGCCGCACTCCGATGCTCACCGTCCCCTCCTCGCGCAGAGCACGCAGACCAAGTATGCAACTACGCCGCCGAGATTCTCGACCAAAAATCGATGGCCCAGATCGACACGGAGTCGCCCGAGGAGTCGGGCGTCGAGGACATTTCCGAGTACGAGTCGGTGCTCATCGGCGCGGCAATGGATCTGGTCGGCGCCATGGCGGCCGTCTTTGGCGGCGACTTTGTCGACCCGCTCGGCGCGCTGCTGCCCAAGATCACAAAGTACTACTCGCCCGCACGCAGCTCGACGGATCGCGGAGCGGCCATGGGCAGCCTGGGCGAGATCATCGTCGGCATGAAGCAGGCCATCACGCCGCTGACGGGCGAGGTGAGTCCAGGGCGTGGCAGCACGGCGCCAGCGCAGTGGCTCACCCCCTTCTTCCTCAATCAGCTCCTCACGACGCTCTCTCGCGCGCTGCAAGACGAGGAGGCCGCCGTGCGTTCCAACGCCGCCTTTGCCTCGGGCTGTCTCATCGAGTACACGCAAACGGACCTCTCCGAGCACTTTCCCGCGCTGCTCAACGCCATCCGGCCCATGTTCACGCCTGCCGCCGCCGACGAGCGCGAGGAGATCAGCAATGCGCGCGACAACGCCTGCGGCTGTCTCTCGCGCATGATTTTGCGCAAGCAAGACGCCGTGCCGCTCGAGCAGGCGCTGCCCATTCTGCTCTCCTCCATGCCCCTCAAGCGCGACTTTGCCGAGTGGACGCCCGTGCTGCAGTGCTTCATGACGCTCCTGCAGGCCAACGACGGCGCGGCAATGACGCACGTCGATGCCATTCTCCAGCTCTTCGCCCACGTCCTCGCCGATGCAGACGAGCCGCTGGACGCAAAGACGCGCGGCCAGCTCGTCGGCTTCGTCTCGAGCCTCAATGCGCAGGCGCCCGAGAAGATTCAGGCGGCGGGATTGCAACCATACCTGGTCTGAGGCGGGCCCAGCGGGCCTCGCCGACGTCGCTTCTCTCTCTCTCTCCGTCACCCTCCTTGTGCTTCCATCGCGACCCCCTAGACACACGCTCTCTCTCTCTCTGATCCACCCCGAGCTCTCTACCTATTCGTCCCTTGCCGTGGCCTAAAACATCCTTTGAGTATCCCCTACAACGTCGAGGGAGCCGCAGCGGCGCTGCGTATGGCGAAGGCCGACAACGGGAAGGCGGGTGCGGCGCGTGCGACGTTGAGGGCCTGCGTGGCGCGACTCAGAGACACTTGCTGCGGCGCGACGCGCGTGCGGGCGGGCGGGCGGGGGGGGGGGGGCAGCAGCGGACTCTCTGCCGAAGTGTGTTGCGTCTCGGAGCCTCGCAGCCTCGCCTCGCAGCCATAGCAGCCTCCTCGAGTTTCATTGCAAGCGCCGCTTTCAGCATGTTTTGAAGCGCTCCTCCAGCCGACTCCCGCTCTTCGAGTACGCGAGAACTGCGTCGCAGAGAGAACCCGGGGGGGCCGCAAAGCAGGCCCGTCGTGCCCACGCGTGGAATACGCAGCCGAGCTTGCCATGCGCCAGTCCGCGACATGGGCGCTCGCCGCAAACCGCAGCATGCTGGGCGTGGGGGCGACGACGCATTGTGCAATGCACCTTGCCCTGTTTACCCCTGCGGACCGGAGCGCGCCGCACCGCTCGCGCCCGCGCGCCCTCCATGCTATCAAACGGCTTTCATTCTAATGGTCGCCGCGTGTCGTGGCCGCCGTATCTTGGTACTGCCACAGGCCGGCCACTCCCGCCTCATGCTGCTGCTGTGCGCCCGCCTGCATGTCCCACGCGAGCATCTCCTCCTCGCCAGCGCCAGGCTGCCGCCGCGGCGCCGCAACCGCCGCCGCACCGCCATGCTGCGGCTGCGCGTCGGCAGCGGCGCGGCCCAGGCGCACCTCGCTGTCGCGTAGCGCCGTCAGTTCGGCAGAGAGGGTGCGTCCGGCGACTAGGAAGCCGGTGGTGGAGCCGAGGAGAAAGGAGAGGCCGAGCGTGCGGTTGGGCGTGAGACGCAGCAGGGGACGGAGAAGCAAGGCTGGCCGTGGAAGTTGGGGCAAGGAGCTGTCAGGATATGGCGTTACAAGGCCTGCTGAGCTATGCCGATGCCCCGGAGTGTATGTGCTGCCCCAGAGAGGCCGATGTTCGCCACAGCGGCAGCCGCGCTGGCTGCGTCCTCGGCGCGCTCTCCTGCGGCGGCCAGGCGTGACTGGGCATCGCCCTCAATGTCCTGCCAGCCCGCCAAGATGTGACCAACTGCCACGCCAACCCTCAACTTCTCTGCCCTTCCGATTGGCGCCACATGCCCGCGCCCACTCACCTCCGCCCACGCCCGCGGCCATGCCAGCGACGAGGCCGCGCGTCTGCGCCTGCTTCTGTGCGCGCGCCACCTCGGGCAGCGGCAGGGGCTTCGTGCGGCGCCGCACCGGTGCCGACGCCGGCGCGGCGGCATCCTGTGGCGGCGGAGGGAAGACGTCGTAGGAGGAGGACATGGGGAGAGAGAGAGGAGCGGACGGCGCGATGATGCGGTGCGGAGAGTCAGAGGAGAGTGGTGCTGCGCGCATCTACATGCGCCGGTGCCACGGCGGCGCGCCCGAGCGAGGACGTGCAGGGGAGGTGGAGGCACCTGCACCCGCCCAGGCCGCCGAACGCCGCGGCCGTGGCGCGGCGTGCCGCCTCCGCGAGCGCTCGCATGCTGCCCTCGCTAGCCGCCATGGTCGGCACGGGGGATGCACACCTCGGCCCTCTCCCATGTCGTGCGCTTCCCTGCAGCACGCACCCATCAACGACGCATCCGCCATGCAGATCTGTCTGTGCAGCATGAGGATTCGCCTCGCGCGCGCGTGCCAGGCGCCATGTGCGGCCGTGGCAAAGGCGGGCCCCTGTGTTGGTTGCCGCGCCGCGCGCCGCGCGCCTCATCACGGGCGGCGGCGATGAGGCTCGCCTCGCCCACTGGCTTCTGCGGCTCGAACTGCGGTGGACGATGCAATGTGCAGATGGACGCCCTCTGCCAAGCGCCTGCCTCTCGGGATGAGGAGACAGGGCCGCCGCAGCCGCAGCCGCAGCCGCGAGATGGGCGGCGGCAAGCAACACGCACGCAACACGCGCGCCCCTGACGCGCGCGCGCCGCGTGCCCTGAGCCCAGCGCGAAAGTCGAGATTGACCGCTCAGCAAGCGCATCTTCCTTCGTGCCCGCCATCCCCGCGCCCTCGCTGCGCCTGCAGGTTCCTGCACTCGCCGCACGGCTCGCCCCTCTCAGGCCTCCCGCTCGCAGCCTTCACGACCCCCTCACGACCCTCACAAGCCCGACCTCACGACCCACTTCACGAGCCTTCCTTTTCGCCTCACGTCTCCACCCCGCCTCCCTTCTCGGCCTCTCTCTCATTCGCCAGCATCGTCTCTCGCTCCGGCCCATCTCGCACCCATATATACCTCGCAGCATCGCCCCACCCTCTCGCATCCATCCATCTCGCCTCTCCGGATTCCCAGCTTGTCCACTATGCCCTCGTCGTCGTCGTCATCGTCATCGGCGCCGCACGCTCGTCCGGCGCCACGCCTCGGCCAGAGCAGCCGCGCTGCCAGCGTATCAAGCGGCAGCCGGAGCACTCGCTCCGCCGCCGCCGTCGCCGCCGTCGGCGTCGCTTCCATGCGCGACGTTGCGTCGCTGCACGCCGCCGCCGCGAGCGGCGCGCCAATCACTGCGCCTGCGCTGCCGCGCGGCAGCGGTGCAGAGCCAGCCTACTACCTCGCTCCTCCCGGCTATGCGCGCGCGGCTCGCCTGCCTGGCTCTGCAGGCGAAGCCGGCGGTGTCCCTGCACACCGCTTCTCTGACAGCAAGTCCGCCACGCCCGGCGCCGTCGATGATGATGAGGCGCCATCCGTGCCGGCGGCAACATTGAACGCGGGCGGCTACTGGCCGCCACAAAGCTATGGTGGCCCAGGCAGCTGGCGGAAGAAAGGCGACGGCAATTGGGAGTGGATCGAGGCGGTGGGAGAGATGATTGAGGAGAGTGAGTATGCTTCGGATGCTTCGTGCAAAGGATGTAGCGAGAAGGCGCTGAGAGCCAAGGGACTGCCTGTGCTCGGCCTATCATGCGCCGGTCATGCGCCGCAGTGTCGCGGCCCGGACAGGGAATGGTCGCCAAGAAGCGATTCCTCTCTCATTGCGAACATGCGAAGCGCCACAACTGATGTGCACACATCTTTCCTTCTGCAGCCATCGTGCCCACGCTGCGCCACAACGACTGGAGTCTGCCCCAGGCAAAGCAGATTCTCTCCAGCTGTGCGTTTTCCTCCGCGCTTGCTCTCTTTCCTTGCACGTATGCTGACTTTCGATGGGGGCGCGCGTTCGCCAGGGGCCACGCTCGCCACGCTGCTTGCCGGCACGCAGACGTCGCTGCTCAACTACACTTCGGAGCGCAACGCGTCTTCGCCGACGGGCGGTCTCGTGCTGGGGCTGCTGTACGGCGGCATTGTGCTTGAGATCTGGGGAGCCATTCTGGCCATCAGTCTCATCATCGCCAGCATCACGCTGCAGGCGCCCGAGGCTCCGAACCGCATCAACGGCGCGCCGGGCACCGACGGCGGCGCCGCCTTGGGCCCACTTGGCGTGCCGCGCTACGCCAGTGTGCACGCCGACGGCAGCAGCGTGCTGCTGGCGCAGCCCTCGTCGAGCTCGGCCTCGACGGGCCTCTCAAGCACGGCCCTTGCCGTACTGGATCGCATGACGTACGCATGCGGCGTCATTGTGCCCCTCGGCGGCCTGCTCGAGTTCGTCGCCTTCACTCTCTTTGCCTTTGGCCAGCTGCACGTCTCGCCCACGGCATGGCACGGCGCCGTAGGCCTGGCTGCGGCCCTGGCGTTTTGTGTGGGCACGACGCTGGTCGCCATGTTTGGCGGATGTGTCAGTGCTCGCCGCCGCGCGCGCAAGCTGCAGCGCCAGCACATGAAGACGCCCGCGACGACGATGCGGCGTCATCGATGCGAGGCAGGCACGGCGGAGGATGAGGAAAAGCTCCTGGAGCATGGCGCTGCGAGCGTCGTCGTCGGCTAGACGCGCGCCCGACTGCCGCACTCGCACTGGAAGCGGCAATTCATAACCCTTATCTGTGCCGAGAAGGACGAGGAGCATCTCGTGTGCGAGCGGGGAGGGAGGGCGTTGCGTGCACTCCTCTGTGGCTGCGGCGGTCAGTCGAGTGTGCCGTTCAGTCTGTCCCACGCCCCCAGCGCCGGGCCGACTCGAGCGCCTTGCTGCCCTTGTGGATGAGGTGTGGCGCGTGCCGGTGCCGGTGGAGGTGCGCTTTGGACCGTGCCATCATGCTCCTGCCGTTGGCGCGGCGCGGGCCCCTACGGCGCGCACCCTGCAGCAGCGTCTGCGGGCCACTAGACTCACCGACTCGTCAGGGTGCCGTCCGTCGCCTCTCACCACCATCATCCCTCAGCAGCAGCCGCCAGCGCCCGTGCTCCCTCGGAGCCCTGCGCCTGTTGGCGCCGCCCAGCAGCAGCAGTCTGAGTCCTCACGCTTCGGGGCGCATCGACGAGAGTGCAGCCCAGACCGCCGCAGCCCCTGCCTCACACGTCCTTGCTGGCCCACAGGCCAGCCAGGCAGCCTGGCGCCCCATCCAAGCATCGGCGCCCGCCGCTGCGTCCTCGCTCTTTCGCTCTTCGGCCGCCGTCGCCCGGGGCCATGCCTGCGTCGCATCAGTCTCAGCCGTCGTCGGTGCGCGGCGCCGCGGCGGCGCAGCAGGGGGCGGCAACGCTGCGCCCTGCCTCCTCCTCTGCATCCACCCTCCACGCCGCTGCGGCGGGCGCAGCGGCAGCGCAGCAGCTGCCTCGCTCGCCGACGCCGCGCACTGCGTCGCCGTCGGCGCGTGGCGGGAGCAGCAAGGCGGCACCTGGCAGCAGCGGCAGCAGCCGCTCGACGACGCTGCACACGCCGCACGCTCCGCCGCCGCCACCGCAGCAGCAGCAGCAGCGTGCCGCCGCTGCGCCTTCCGGCTCGCGATCCTCCTCGCCGGCACCGACGACATACCGCTATGCACTCGGCCCTGCGCCCGTGCGCTTTCCCTCTGCCCAGCCCGCCGCCGCCGCGGCCGCGGCTGAGGAGCATCGGGAGGTGCGCAGCCGCAGTCGGAGCGCAGCGGGTGGCGCCGGCCCCTCTGTAGCGCCCGCCCAGCGCAGCAGCGGCAAGCTCGGCAGCTCGTCGTCGCATCATCTCGAGGCCGTCGAGGCCGGCGCGAGCTCGCGTGTCCGCACGCAGTCGTCGCCGTCGCCCTCGCCACTCTTCACCACCACGCCCTTGCCCACGTCTGCCTCCTCCGCTTCGCTCGCTGCCCGCCCTCCTCACGATCCTCACGCCTCTGCAACAACAAACGAAGCCACTCCTCTGCTGCGTCCGCCGCTGCGCTTCGGCTCCCGTCCAAACTCGCAAGTCTTCACCTCCTTTCCCTTTCCCCATCCCACCGCCACGCCCCCACTGGCTGCGGCCGGACAGCGCAGCTGGCTGTCGCGCCTCTGGAGTCGACGCGGCAGCTCATCAGTTGCTCCCGAGCCCGACGCCGCGATCGCGACGCCCCACTCCATCAAGCCCTGCGCCGCCGCGGCGGATCCAGAGGATCCGTACGGCTATCGCGCCCTCGCAGGCCCCGCATTGCTGCCCGCATTCCACGCGCCCCGCCTGGCGCTGGCACGCGAAGGCATCTCGCTGCGCGCAGGCAGACGCCTGGCGTGCGGCCTGGCAGCCGCCGGCGTGCTCGTGCTGCTGCTGGGCTATGCTTTCACGATGGCGGGCGTCATCTTGCAGGGCGCTCACTGGCCTGGCTTGGGCGAAGGCCTCGCTGCCGCCGCCGGGTGATAGCTCCGTTGCCCCCTCTTCCCCCCCTCCCCCCCCCCGGTCTGCTTTCTTTCGAAGGAATTGTCTAATCAATGTCGTCTCGCGCTCTCTCATAAGCAGCAACCAGTGCAGCACGCAGCCAGTCTCGCCGCTCTCGGACGCTGCTTGCTTACTGCTGCTGCTGGCTGCCCGCTGCCCGCTGGGGCAGGACGTCCAAACCGTCCATGGCACGGCAGGTCCTGCTGAGCGTCACACCGGCCCACAGCCTGCCCTTTCTCCGTTGCGCAGCGCCAGGGCGCATACGGGCACGCAGAGGGTGGCGGGCACGCAGAGGGTGGCAGGGGCGAGGCCATGGCGTGCGGTGCGCTGTCTCGCACGCGCAGAAGTCTTGTGTCACGATGAAACATTTCTCGATCATCTCCCCGTGCCC